CCTAACAGAAATCCAGAATCAAAGTGTTAATGAATACAGACAATAGCTACTACTGACAATATCTGTTACCAGGCTGGTTACCAGTCATAAGGGACAACATTGCCAGCTGGTCCAAGAGCTCCATTTAAATTCTGGACTGGGTTAGCAAATCTAGCCTGCTTTATCATAGCTGTACCTGTGCCCTGTCCTGCCCCCTTCCAGCATGACCTCCTGACTGGGCTTCCATGATGGGTCTCAGCCATGCATTGTAGGTAGTCTTGTACATGGCCCCCATCTCCTGGATGGACCTTACACATATGATAGCTGCTCTGAAAGTAATGCCTCTGATTTGATTATGTTGGCCCACAGCATCAGAGGCAGATAGTGGTGGTATGGCAGTAGACGTTTGTTACAGTTGGAAAGAATATCGTGGTGAAATGGAATGAAACAAACAGAGAAGGAAAGCTCACTTGTATTTGAAGATTCAGGCTCACAGTGACACTCCACTGTGGAGGAGGGATCTCCAGAAAGAGATCCTTCCCCTGTGGAAGTCAGCCCTTAAATGGGTCTAGGTCACAGGCTGTGCTCCCATGGCTGACCTAGTCTTTTCCTCAGGTAATCCATCAGTGGTTCAGGCTGTGACTCAACAGTTCCCATATAAGGTTGAACTTTCCCACCAGTATTCCATTACATTTTGCTACCACATGACAGATGGCAACAGATGGACAGTCTGACAAAACGGCATCTGGCATGAAAGTGTTTATGAAGCAAAGGTGTGTCACTAAATTTCTCCATGAAAAAAAAAAAATAGCACCCATTGCCATTTATTAATGTTTACTGAATGTTTATGGAGACCACATAGCATATGTGAGCACAGTGAGGTGGTGGATGGTGCATTTTGGCAGTGCTGACAGCAACAGGAAAGACAAATCACATTTTAGATGGTCATACAGATTTTGACGAGCATAGTATGCAGGTTCTCGCTCATTGCCGGTGAAAATGCATAGCTAACAGTGGTGTCTAAGTTAAAAAAATAGTGTTTTGTAGCTGTGAATTTGCTCTATCAAGTAGTATTACTGTGCTCTTTGCATCTGTTGTAGTTTCCACAGAAATAAATAGGAGGCATTACTTTCAGAGCAACCTATGTATTTCAGTGCAGATATAATTACATATAGTCACTGAAAATTCTTAAAGCTGCGATCCACATGGTATAATCAACCATACAAGCACTTTTTTTCATTTTTGACCAGTCCAAGTTTTACAAAAGTATCCAGCAACCTTAGCAACGTTACAGCTAGAAGGCATCTAACACTGACACTACTATACGTACATATGATTATATCAATTCATTATGGTTCTTAACGTTTTGAGTGTGCAATTCTGGTTCTGTGCAAGCGATGCCAATAATTGTTATTTGTATCTACGTGGTCACAGGCAATGCTGAAATATTATCTTGCAATATGTGAAAAGTTCTGAAATTTGATCTGCTACTCATCAGCTCAGGAGTCTGAGCTCTATACAGCCTTGATTAAATAATTTTGTAACTTTTACAACAGGGCAGAATGTGACAGCTATGCATCTAAAACTAACAGACAGTAACAGAACTGCAAAGAACTAAAATTCAGCCCTTTAGCTTGAGAACAGTCCAAGTGCTATTTTATGTAATTGAGGTTAAGCAGAATACATCTATTAGTGTGTGAATACATCTACTAGAGAAGGTTTCTGAAAGACACTTCAGCTTTCCCTTGAAGTGGAATATAGCGGCTTTGCAGCTTTTGATGCTAGACTGTGTAGAAGCAGAGTCTCCTGCAGGTGCTCAAGGTTGATGAAGTAGTTCATTCCCCCAGATCAACACAGCAGTTTCACTACTCCTCAGAGGCAAGTTACCAGATCTAGTAGTTTAGCCTGAACACAAGATTAGAAAAACTGTTTAATTTCAATCCATCCAGTCCAGCCTCTTCACTGCAACTGGTGCTTGAGTTTTCATTTCTCCATTCGAACGTGCCAGAAAAGGTGCCAGAAAACAGACGAGATCTGCTACAGTCAATAAAGAAGCATTTTGAGAAACAGTCTGTCAGTGTTTGACGATTACGTGTAATGATGACAGTTCACTGGCTTCTCAAACCTTGTCCACAAGTGCGGTTGCATAGTTTCAGCTGAGCCAAATTAACAGCTCACTGGCAGAATGTCTCATTGTCTCCTATCTTCCCTGCTCGGTTAGTATCCTGCCATTTTAGCAAGCTGAATTTGCATACATCCAGTTAAACAAGAGATGGTGCTTGGAAAGCAGTCACGCTATACATCTGGGAATGGAAGGTGTTGTCCCAGTCACAGTGACTGTGGTCTGTTCAGTAAACTCATGACAGAGCACAAATGCTTAACCTTTAAAAAGGAATTTAAAAATAAAGAAGAAACTTAAAAAGAATATCCAGCACAATTGGAAAGGATTAACCATGTAAATATTACCCCTTTGTTGTGCTGGATACACGGCCCAATTTCAGGTTATGAAATGTTATGCAGCTGCTTTATACAATACATTATTTTGTGTTTTAACTTTTGTGTGTTTAAACAATTCTGTCAATACAGTAAAAATAAAAAATAAAAATTGATAGCTCTGCTGCATGCATTCGCTTTTACTGATTTAATTACAGAGATAGCCTAATGAGTCTGAGTCTGTTCTTGTTTTTGAAAACATCTAGTTTGCATGAAGCACGTACAGAAGTGAATATAAATATTAATAAAGTCATATTCACACACGTATTACATCACTTTCTTTTCATGTTTAATACCATTCAGTAACTGAATAATGAGGCCTACAGTGATGTAACACCATAGTAAAAACAAGATTTCATCTCAGTACTGCAGGAAAATGTACATCACTCCTCTTATTCTCAGATTTTGCAAAGACATTAGAGCATACAGATGGAACTATTCCTCTTGTAAACCACCCCCGCCCACTGATTATTTCATACAATAAAGTCAGCTTTGAAAAATACAATTGCTTTCTGTTACTGGTGAATGAGACTCCTTCCCTAGCAAGTGAGGTGAGGGGGAGTCAAGTTTTCATAAGAGTTTCTACATCTGTGGTCACAAAGAAAACTTCCCAAATGTTAACTGAGTCAGTGCCATCTCTTGAATCTGTATTCAGCCTGACGTATCGATTCAAGGTCTTCCCAACTAACAGCAAAATAAGCAGCCAATTTTTGCTCCTGCTATTCACGAGTAGGTGGGTAATGATACTGACAGAGTTTTTTCCATTATTTGGAAAAAACTATGAGCACTAGCAAGCACAAAGGAGGCCAAGAGCCAATGAGAAACTCATTAAGCTGCTTAAACTGATCTAAATCTAGGCTGTTGAGGTCACATCCCGCCCCCGCCACATATTTCCACCCCCTTCCTTCGGCCAGCACTGGTGTTTACAGAAACAGGTGGTGGTGTGCTTGTTCAAGGGAAGAAAAAACAACAACCAACCACCCCATAGCATTTTAGCATACAGACCAGTTTAAGGGGCTGCACAGTACTAGCATCAGTGCAAGGGAGTGAGGCAGGAACACCACAGCTGGAAATTAAGAGTAGTTTAATCTTCTATGAAACTGGAATTGAACAAACCACTGGAATCTTTGGAGTTTATCCTCAGCTATACAAATCTGATCAATGTATGGAGATACATTGATCAACTTCCAAATTACAGATGGAGGTAGATTTGTTTCTCTTACTGTCTCTTACTATGTTCAAAATCTATGTTCTCTTCTTGTATTTACTTACTATTTAGTAGTAGTAACTCATTTGTGACTGGTTCTTAGCAGTGATAAAGGCACCTTAATTCTAAACCCTCAAACCAGAGAAGATTAAGGAAAGGATAAGAGGCAGACATAATTTGTTTCCTACCACTTAAGAAGCGCAGAGAGGAAGGGAACTGAAGCAAGAGGACACAGCTCTCCCTAGTCAGTAGAATTCTTTGCAGTGCCTGGAAAAGAGGAAAGTTCTTTGCTCTTTGCAGCAAAAGCAGCGTGTTCAAATACGGTGAATATAAATGGATCGATGATCCTTCTCCATCCCTTCCAACTTAGGACAGCTGATAGATGGTCTTGGCTAGTGCTGGCTTTGATATTCATGGGCTGAGTAAGAAATGAGATGGATTTCTCATTTTTGCTGCTGTTTGTAAAGTTGCAATTTTTCAGTCCTTTAGTAGCACAGCACAGTTAGCACTTAATAGCACATCCAATGTAAATTTTAAATGTTTCGTGTCTTGGCGTTTTTAGGAGGATTAATAACCACCATGGTCTTCCCTCAGCTGACAGTAATTTGGGGCTTAGTGAGGCCACACAGTAACTACAATTTGTAACAACTTCTTTTCTCTGAGGTCATTCTGATTTTTCCATTCCAACTTTTGAGAGATTTAAGAGTTGCTTTTGGAAAAATATCTCTGGTACAGATGAGCATCATTAAAAAACACACATGTACCTCAGCACCTAAAAACAAAGAAGGGAAAAGACTAATGCAACACAGGCTGTGTAGTGCAAGCATACAGGGAAGTCCTCAAACAGATGACAAGTGAATTTGCACTAAGGACCAGCATGCTTCAGATGTGTAAACTTTTTAAAAAGTATTTATTTCCCCTTTTGCACGCTGGCTTCCCCCCTGGGCTACCCCTCATCAAAGAGGGGAGCTCCGGAGGGCCCCAACGAGCCACGAGCTGAGGCACAGTCCTCGGCTCACTTCCCTCAGGGGAATGGCGGGAACGGCACGCGGATCGCTCAGGCTCTGCCAGTCCGCCCCCGGGCCGCAGCCCAGACAACCGCCGCTCCGCACCGTGACGGGAGGCGGGAAGACACCGCACGCCCCGCCCACCAGGTGACGCTACGGAGCAGCCGCTCACGTGACGCAGGCAGCCAATGAGCGGGCGGGCTGCCCTCTCTCCGCGGGCGGCGGCGGAGGAAGGGGGCGGGCGGAAGGCTGAGGCCGCCGTCGCCGCCGCCGCCGGAGCCGGGGGGGGGGAGCGGCAGCGCGGGGCGGGCGCAGCGCCGAGCGGGGCCGCCGGGGGTTGCGCGTGTCTGGCCGCGGCGCCCGAAGAGGCCATGCCGAATAAAAACAAGAAGGAGAAAGTGAGGCGGGGTGAAGCGGAGAGGGAAGGGGGGAGGTCGAGCTCCACGGGGAGGTTGTGGGGGTGTAGAGGCCCCGCGAGGAGGAGCGGCCCGAGGCAAGACGAGGGGCGGCGGGGAGCTCCGTGCCGCTGAGGGGAACGCGGCTTTCCCGCACGCCGCCGTGTGCGGCCGCGCTGCCTGCCTCCGGGCGCTGGGGAGGGGGCGGTCCCCCCGCGGGGCCTAGCCCGGGGCTGTGGAGGGGGGGGTCCCGGCCTCGTCTCGCCCCGGGGGTCCCGGTGTGCGGGGCTCGGGGGCGGCCGGGGGAAGGGGAGAAGCCGTGGGTTTGGTGTGCGGAGGAGGGAGGGGATGGAAGCGTGCGCTGAGCGGAGCTGGCGGAAGAGTGAGCGGGGAGAGGCGGCTCCGGGTGTGCGGGGGGCCGTCCCGGGCCGGCTGTAAGCTGAATTTGTGCCCGGGGGAATCGGTACGAGAGCTCAGCGGGGCCTTCCCGTCCCCTCCGCCCCGGTGACCGGGAGCGGTTGTTTTGTCAGTCCCGGAAGGGGCTCCTGCAAGTGGAAGTACCAGGAAAGTTGTAAATCCGACATGAAGTTAACTGGGTTGCGCTCTGTGGTAGGTGATTAGCCGTCGTGGGAAGGAGGGAAGAGCAAGAGCAGTGATGTATAGAGTCTGTCTCATCCAGCTGCTGTCCCACTGAAGCCTTTTTGTTTGCCTTCTGCCTGTTTTTTAGCTTTTTGGTAATGTTTTGAAGTTAGATGGGTATTGTGACTCACGTTGCTTTTGGGCTTTAACTTTTTTCCCCCGATATCCTTGCCACTGGTCATACTGAATGCATTCAAACTTTGGTTTTCTTAGAAAAGCAAGTCTCACGAAGAGGCTGTGGATTGATTAAAGCTACAGGTACAGTGCAGGGAGTAGAGAATCTGAGCATTGGGTCTGCTTTAAAACTACATGCACAGACCATCTAGAACAGGCACTGTAATGAAGTATAAAATGTATATTCCAAGAACTTCTTTTTCAAGGCAGAACTAAGTGTAAATACTCCTGAGGCTAAAGCCCAAAGACAGCAAGGTGAAATTTTTAGACGTGATTCTAATCAATTGCGTTCTTTGTCTATTATAAGCTAAATAATAAAAGCCTATATCTAATCACCTTATTGGTCAATTCTGAGGCATAAATATAACTCTAAAACCTTCCTGAAGATGGAGAATCTTTAAAGCAGCTTTGTAGAGAATGACAGTTCAGTGTTAAGGTCTTCCAGTAAAACAACATCCTTGCTGGTCCTATCAGTTTTAATACACCCAGTTGAATAAAAAGCAAACATCTCAACTTTAAAATCTACCTAACATAACTGAGACTGAAATTTTTCTCAGGAACCTGCAAAATCGGGCAAAAGTGGAAAAAGTGGCAAAGATGGACAAGAAAACCAAGAACATGAAGTAAGTATTACTAAAGCATGTAATCTTTCCAGGCAAATTTCTGAAGACTTCTGAAAAACATTTGGAATTTTTCTAGATGGTTGTAGTTTTGTTGTGATGGGTGACTGTGAGAAAAGTGGTTCTGGGAACTACTGACCTGGTCTTTGATTAAAAAGTGCTCTAAGAGAAGATGCTTTTGAGGAAGTTAATTTTATGTCACAGGCTGAGAGACTGTGCTTGCTATGGTCTTAATCACTCATCTGTTTCCTCTTTGGTTGTGAGGAGTACATCTGTCTTATTTTCTAGTCTTGTTCTGAGGTTTGGAACTTGTCTTCTAGCAGCTCATTGTGGTTTTTATCATTCTCTGTGATTTCTGGAGCTCTTTTCTCAAAAACTTTTGATAAACTGTGCCAGTTGTCAGTAACCTGTTATGTTGTCGGGAGGCCTTATGCTTCATCAAAGGCTGCCAGATTGGTTTTTTTTTTTTTTTTTTTTGTACCTAATTTCTGTATATATGTATACAGTGGAGTATTGCTTTTTTTTAAAATTGATTTTTCAGTTGTTGCTGCAGTATTTTTTCTTTCTGCATTGCTGTTTGTTTTGCCCACCAGCAAGGTGCAGTTATTTGAAAGGACTCAGTTAACTCATGACACGCTCCCATTCTCTCGCATTAATCTGAAAACCCAGAATTGTTAGATTTCCTTCATTAGAAAATCCAGCGTTTATTTACTTTACAGTTAATACCAGCCTGAGCGTAAAATGCCACGCTGAGAAGTTTGTATATTTCATCCTCTAAACTGCATGTCCTGCTGCTCATCCAGCTTTACCATTTTTTCCAATCCCCACGTGATTACTGGTGTATGGGGGTGGGGGATGGACAGGAGGGGAGGGAAGTGTTTGGCTTGCAGAAGTCTGTTCCTTCTGATGCAAATGAGTTTTCATTTATTGTGCAGAAAGATATATGCTACTGACATCAGATGATATAACCGTTAAAACTTACAAACTTTCTTTTAACTTGCAAAAAAAATTATGACTGAATTTCTGTGGAAAGAGCTGATTTCTTGGCTACTAGGAGAGAAAACTCTTGGAATGAGATCAGGACAGTAGCAGAGTGTAAATGTTCATAACAGTGCAAATGAACATGATGTGTTCTGTAGTTATGGTATATTGCTATGGCATTAAAAAGAAGAGTATTACTTTTTGACTTGAATCTTGGTTCCTGTGCAATTGTAAGGATTGTGATTACTGGTACCTTTGCTACATATTGGTTGAGAACTCATTTTCTCGTGTTTCTGAATGACATGCTGCTGAGACCAGAACTGATTTTCTTGGTCCTTCAAGGACGGTGTGTAAAGCTGCCACTGGAGCTAGTAGTGTGATTTAAACGTTAACTGAAAATGCCCATCTAGATTCCTTTCCTTCTGTATTTGCAGATAAAGCTTTTCCATGTTTTGAATATTAAAAAAGAAAGAGATTAATCTCTACAGAATACGTTCATGCATTTTTCTGTTTCAGTTGGCCTTTCCAATGTGAAAGTACAGTTAGCTTAAGTCTGTGATGATGCTTTGTTATTGTGTGAGTGGGGGCAGAGTGGGAAAGGGACCCATGTGCTGCTGAGATTGTGACTGGTGCATATACTGTGATTGTCATTCCCAGTGGGCATTGTTTAGCCTCCAGACAGTTTTGAGCACCTCAGTGCCTCACTCATTAACTTAATTAATAGGGTAATTGCACCCAAGTAGTAATATGAAGTTTGCATTCTAATGTGGCTGGCTGTAACCAAAGTGTATGTTAGCTGACACTTAGATGTGCAGAAGGGAAACTATTCCTTAGCATAAGGAAGTGTAGAACAGCAAATATAGCAATGCTCTGGAATATACTATTGATATGGGCTTTTTTGGGATTTTTTTCTGTAACAAAGGTTGTCCTTTTGTTTCCTTGTACCAGTGTTTTAACATGGCTCTTTAAAGAAACTGCTGTGGACTCTAGGTTTAGAAATACACAGGTTTGTGTCATATTTTTTCAGCAAAATTATATTTAATGGGTATGAATTTAATGCAGATGAATGTAATGCAAATGGCAGATAGTAAAGACTAGAAACTGTCTGCTGTACAAAGAACAGGGGACAGCACAAGCAGCAGCATCCCACAAATACTTTATTTATAAACACCTAACTAAATTTATAACACTCGGCTAAATTCATTATGCCTTGGACTTCTGTAGATGAAGATATAAGTGGATCTCAACAGTTCACAGGAATAAACGAGTGCTTTTTCTGTCTTGTGGTCAGGGAGATGAGATTTTGGTTGAGTGGAGCTACCCAGCAAGTCTGAGAAGTGTTTTGAAATCATACCAGGCTTTACTGGTAGGCATGCAGTTGCTGAAGAGCGATGTAAAGGACTTAAGCTGGTACTTGTGTACTTTGCTGAATTTTACAAAGAGACACAAGTATGTATAGAAGCTCCACAGTAGCTGCAGTGTGCAAGTGATCTACTGGAATAAATACTTTTTTGTTTACGTATCAAAGGATTTCATTGTCATTGTATTTGAAAACAAGATTCGTTTTGCCCATTTATTTGTTTCCTGTGTTCCCCCCAAATAGAGATTTAAGGAAAAAAAAAAAAACAAAAGTTAGTTCTTCTCCTATTACCTGTGTCTTGGTTACTTGCTGTAATACAAAAAGCCGTGCTAGATAAGACCACAGATCTACGTTGCTTGGTATTCTGTGTGGTTAGTAGCTGCTAGAAATTAGTTTCAGTTATAGAGGAGATGTGTGGTTTTTTCATCCTTACTTTAAGCCAGTATGTAGCTTAGAACGTTGCCTAACTGGATGTTGTATAAAATTGTTTTCATGTTATCGTGATTTAACTGACTTTTTAAATATTATCTAAATTTGTGTCATTTTTTTTTCCAAGCCCTGTTTAAACTCACCTGGGTGGGAGGACTTCTGTATTTTAAATTATCCTTCTGTTCTCTAATACTGGAGCTACCAGAGCTGTGCAGTACATGTAGGGGTGGAGAGGGTACCATGTCTGTTTGTAACCAAATGTAGTGAGTCCAGTTCCCAGTCTTACATATTGTTCACTTCTTGAACATTTGAGAGAAAAGCTAATATGATTAAGTTTGTGTCCGACTTCAGCTTCTTTTTGCCTGTTAGTAAACATGGATTGGGGTAAATCATTGGCAGAACTGTTGAATCTATTCCGTTAGGAGTAACTTTATACTTCAGTAATTAGTCCAGGGTATTTCAGGTTGGGAACAACAACAATCTGTTATGTATGGTTGCACTCTGAAGGGATGGAGACTTACTCTGATAAAATACTCTGGGATTTGTTTACCAATGACCAAAGGCTGTAATCAGAACACACAATGAAGAGAAATGTCCAGGTGTGGGTAGTGATTATCCCAGCACTGAGTAACTTGTGGATGTATTCCCTGTGAGGACGCTGGCCTTTACAGATGTTTCTTTCCTTGGGAATAAGCTTTTTTTCCAGAGCTCTGTTACACACAGTTGTGTGGAAGTTGTTTTGTGACTTTAAACAGCAGTAATGCAGGGTCAGCTGCATTTGAGTGCAGAGAAACAGGTCTTCCCTCTGTTGTTTCACTATCATGGTAGTTCTGGTTCTGTGTCAGCCTGTAGCTGGGTTGTTACAAATCTTCCAAGTCGGCCTCTTGTTACTTTCAGTGTGAGTTTCTCTGGAAGGAGCAGTAAGTGATTGTCAGATGTTATCATTGCCTCTGTGTAGCAAAAGCCTTTTTTTTTTTTTTTTTAATTTCAAAAAACTCAAATGTTTCTTACAATACTGTATTAATAGTTCTCAGGTACAAACCACAGGAAAGAAAGTTAAGATCTGAACCACATAGACTCTTATTTCTGTATTTGGCCTGTGGGAATGTATGTGCTAAAACTTGCACTTCTTACTGATGCTATCTGCTGCTACAGGGAACACAGGTTGGTTGACATCGGTGTTGGCTGTAGCTGCAAAATCGCAAGCACCAAGAGTGATTCTAATACTTAACGTGCCTGAGCTGGAGTGCATTTAAGCTGCAGATGGATCACTGTCTGGATCATAGTTTTGCTCTCTGCTTGGTGTTGCAATTGAACTGATTGCACTGGAATGGTCTGGGAGCACTGGGACGACAGATGGCTGGGGTTCACCTGGGAGATGGGAGGTTCAGGAGTAGCTGGTGACCCTTTGTACATCACAGTAACAGGTGACAATGAGAGCTTCTAGATCTAATGTACTCGTTTGAGAAGGCATGAAACCTTCTGAACTCATAGTTTCATTCATTTCTTTATCTGGATACTCATAGTTTGTAGCAGGGAAAAGCTACTTTTGGTTAACAGAATATTGGCTTGGTGACTTTGAACAATGAAGAACAGAAATCATAATTCTGTCTTCAAGTTCTTCTGCTGGCAAACAGAAAGCTAATGTGGTTTGAGTAATGCGTGTGTGTGTGTGTTACCTATTATCACTGCTTTGATTTGCTGTCCTGCTTGGTTTCTTTGTACTCAAAGGTTTTTTCTATTTTTTCATACACAATGTAATAAAATATATACTGTTGGCCAGTTCCCTTTCCATGCAAGAAATGGCTTGATTTACTGACAGTGTGTTGTAAATGTTAGGTGATAACCACTGTAGAAACCAATTTTGAGATTGAAAAAAAAACCAACGAAAAATCACCTTGTTAAGTACTGATCCGTGCCTCTGCCCTACCACCAACTCTCAGCAATCACTTTTCAGTTAGTTTACTAATTTTCCTAAAAATAATATGTAGGAAAGAGGAGAAGTAGAAGTGACGTTAGTTATGTAGTGTAGATATCTTAGCAGAGGTGATATGAAGAAGTGTCCTAATGTTAAAACCTGGGAAGATGCACTGTCTGTTACTGTTAAGCAGCCTTGCAATTTTTTAAAAAATTTTCTCAGTTCCTATTTCCAAATGTATTGATATCTTAGTGAAGTTTCAGTATGAGTTTGTGGGCTGAAAAATTATTTATAACTAGATTCAAGAACACAAGA